ATTCAAAAAAGAGGAAGTTTACTCGCCTTACGAATTGGTGAAATAAACCAAAGAAGCACGTGAGATGCATTTTCCGTACGAAGCCAAATTTTTTATGACGATTTTTTCAAAGTCTTTAAAAAGGTTACTTCTCTTTTCTAATAATCTGAGAGCTCTCATAGATGTTAAAATTAAGACTAATGAGAGCTGCAGCCTCTGAATGTTTTGCACGAGCGCATCACCACACAACACAACGCCGAATAATGACAAACAATGTCAACAACATTTAACAACAATTAAGTAGCAACATGTCGTTTCTGTTGTCGTGTACCAGTCGATTAGATTTTGTGTCACTAAAACAAGGCTATGTTATTGTTCTAGATTAGGAGACTGGTTGCAAAAAGCTCAAGAGATAGTAGAACTAAAATCACTTAAATCTTCCACTGCTCAATATCCGTCACCTCCCTTTCTTTCCCCATCATTTGACAATTCTAATCCACAGTTCGGCGTACCGACCACTTCCTCCAATTCACTGACCACGTTTCCTTCTTCTGCCACATCTTTATGCCTGTCACCAATCAACACACGTAATTGTGCCTCATCACCCAGCAGGCTGACTTCAAGTCGACATCAAGTTTGTCACCCAAGTTTGTCACCTAGGCCGACATCAAGTCCGTTACCGACTGTTGACCGTTGTATATTCATCCACCTGGATTGGAATATTTATCAATCGTTGGAGCTCCTTAACTTATAGAGCGTTAAAGTATTAGTAGTTAGTAGTCACTATTTTAAAGCAAAGTAGTCCTTTCTTTGATTTTTAAATTAATAGCTGGTGGTTCAGAATGGAATGCTTGTTCACTCTAAATGCTTAGGCTATAACCAGAGTGAACTCAGAACTAATTTGATCAATTTAGCACAAATAATGTATCTTATTTTTCAGGAATTTAAGAAAAGGAACTATTTTCTATAAGAACTATAACTATAAGAAAAAGGAGGAAGTTTTTTAAAAACCCGCAAATTTAAAATACTTATGTGATATTTATAGAGAATAAATATGTTTTTTCTGGAAATGTTTGATTTAGTTTGTTTTTTAATACTAAGCTATCAACATTTCTTTTTAAAAAATCTGCAGATTCAAACTTAGGCACTCATTATAATTAATGTTAGGTATTATAAAAGAAAATATTTTTAAATCTGACCAGGTAAATGGAAGTTTGCTTAGGCCCAGTCTGTAAGTTTGTTTTGAATGGACCTTAAAAGTAACTAACAAAGTAGAGGAGATGAGCTTATTTGAAAACATGATAATGACAGAGATTACCTTAATTTTCTTAAGCGATTAGATTTTGTATCACTTAAACTATGCTATGTTATTGTTCTAGAGTTGGGAGACTGGTGGCAAAAAGATCAAGACATAATAGGAGAACTGAAAGCACTGAAACCTTCCACTGCTCAATATCCGTCACCTCCCTTTCTTTCCTCATCCTTTGACAATTCTCATCCACAGTTCAGTGTACCATCCACATCCTCCAATTCCCTGACCTTGTTTCCTTCTTCTGTCACATATTTATGCCTGTCCCCAATCAACGTCCGTACTTCATCACCGAGCAGGCCAACTTCAAGTCCCAAGTCATCAAGCTTGTCACCTAGGCCGACATCAAGTCAGTCACCGACAGAGTGCGCGGTAAACACTCAGGACTTGCTTCATCCTCAGCCCAAAGATGATGTAAGTGTTGTGAAAAATAGATGCTTTTAAGTCCAATACAATGATACACAGGAAATACAATTTAATTACATAAATTCCTGTTTTTGGTGCATAAAAATGCTTTTGACATCGTTTAACCTTTTAACATTTTAAGACAAACACATTTTTATTCAGCCAATGATAAGTAGTGTAATAGAAGCTTTAATTTACTGCAATCATACCGCGATCGTCAGCATAGGTAGTGATATAATATATATACATATTTTAATGTATGCCTTTCTAAAACAGTTTAAAACGATTTGCTTGACTCGATTAATTTAGTTTGCCATCGACTGAGTGCCGAGGAAATTCGCCAAAGCAGTTATGTAGCAATTCAAGCAGATGAAACCACAGACGTCGCTACACTATCTCAATTGGTTTTTATTGTTAGGTATGAATTATATGGTCAAATTAAAGAGAGATTTATCACTTATGTCAACCACAAGAGTTTGAATGCTGAGGGAATTAGTGAGGCTATTTTTTATGAATTGCAGAAGCAAGGGCTGGATAAAACCCTCGACAAAGTAATAGCCCAGAGCTATGACGGCACGGCTACGATGAGTGGGCAACATACTGGCGTACAGGCTAGGGTGAAAACAGTTTATAAAAACGCCCACTACGTTCATTGTTATGCACATCAATTAAATTTAATTGTAGAGAGGTGTTCTACTCAAAACAAACAGATTAAGATACTTTTCAGCAATATTGAAGGATTTTCAGTTTTTTTTTCTCAGTCAACAAAACGAACCAAAGTTCTTGACGACATCGTTAAAAACGCGTGCCAAAAAATCCAGCTACTAGATGGAATTACAAATTTAATTATAAATTTCCTTCTTCTGCCACATCTTTATGCCTGTCACCAATCAACATACGTAATTGTGCCTTACCACCCAGCAGGCCGACTTCAAGTCGACATCAAGTTTGTCACCCAAGTTTGTCACCTAGGCCGACATCAAGTCCGTTACCGACTGTTGACCGTTGTATATTCATCCACCTGGATTGGAACATTTATCAATCGTTGGAGCTCCTTAACTTATATAGAGCGTTAAAGTATTAGTAGTTAGTAGTCACTATTTTACAGCAAAGTAGTCCTTTATTTTTAAATTAATGACTGGTGGTTCAGAATTGAATGCTTGTTCACTCTAATTAAATGCTTAGGCTATAACCAGAATAAACTCAGAACTAACTGGATCAATTTAGCACAAATAATTTATCTTTCTTCAGGAATTTAAGAAAAAGGAACTATTAAAAAGTTGCAAGGGACATAAAAACAAAACGTCAAGCCATGACACATTGTCGAAAAGTGATATTATAAAGAACCTGACTGAAGAAAATGAATCATTGAAGAAGCGTGTCAAGAAATAAAAGGAGAACTAAATCACTGAAACCTTCCACTGCTCAATATCCGTCACCTCCCTTTCTTTCCCCATCATTTGACAATTCTAATCCACAGTTCGGCGTACCGACCACTTCCTCCAATTCACTGACCACGTTTCCTTCTTCTGCAACATCTTTATGCCTGTTGCCAATCAACGTCCGTACTTCATCACCGAGCAGGCCGACTTCAAGTCCCAAGTCATCAAGTTTGTCACCTAGGCCGACATCAAGTCAGTCACCGACAGAGTGCGAAAATTGTGCCCTAGCTTCTGCAATTCACCAAAAATAGCCTCACTAATTCCCTCAGCATTCAAACTCTTGGGGTTGACATAAGTGATAAATCTCTCTTTAATTTGACCATATAATTCATACCTAACAATAAAAACCAATTGAGATAGTGTAGCGACGTCTGTGGTTTCATCTGCTTGAATTGCTACATAACTGCTTTGGCGAATTTCCTCGGCACTCAGTCGATGGCAAACTAAATTAATCGAGTCAAGCAAATCGTTTTAAACTGTTTTAGAAAGGCATACATTAAAATATGTATATATATTATATCACTACCTATGCTGACGATCGCGGTATGATTGCAGTAAATTAAAGCTTCTATTACACTACTTATCATTGGCTGAATAAAAATGTGTTTGTCTTAAAATGTTAAAAGGTTAAACGATGTCAAAAGCATTTTTATGCACCAAAAACAGGAATTTATGTAATTAAATTGTATTTCCTGTGTATCATTGTATTGGACTTAAAAGCATCTATTTTTCACAACACTTACATCATCTTTGGGCTGAGGATGAAGCAAGTCCTGAGTGTTTACCGCGCACTCTGTCGGTGACTGACTTGATGTCGGCCTAGGTGACAAGCTTGATGACTTGGGACTTGAAGTTGGCCTGCTCGGTGATGAAGTACGGACGTTGATTGGGGACAGGCATAAATATGTGACAGAAGAAGGAAACAAGGTCAGGGAATTGGAGGATGTGGATGGTACACTGAACTGTGGATGAGAATTGTCAAAGGATGAGGAAAGAAAGGGAGGTGACGGATATTTAGCAGTGGAAGGTTTCAGTGCTTTCAGTTCTCCTATTATGTCTTGATCTTTTTGCCACCAGTCTCCCAACTCTAGAACAATAACATAGCATAGTTTAAGTGATACAAAATCTAATCGCTTAAGAAAATTAAGGTAATCTCTGTCATTATCATGTTTTCAAATAAGCTCATCTCCTCTACTTTGTTAGTTACTTTTAAGGTCCATTCAAAACAAACTTACAGACTGGTAAGTTTGTATTGGTATATGGTAAGATTGTTTGACTGGTACAGCGGTTGCAACTGATCGGTAGTATGTGCTGGCAGTTTAATGAGCACTAGTTTGTTGTCAAAAGCAAGCTTTATCACATCTACTGACAGGTGAGATAGGTAGCCGTCAACAATTATCAACAGAGGCCTTTCAGCAGGAGCACCTGGGATAAACACGTTTTTCATATAACTGAAAAATGTTTCTGACGTCATCCATCCCGATTCACTACTGTCGTATGTTGTCCTCGGATAGCACTTATCCGACTTCCATTCACTTCTGATGGTACAGTTACTTGATTTAAAAATAATGTGAGGTGGGAAAACCTGTGCGAAAATATATGCTTTTTAAGTCCAATACGTTGATACAGCAAATACAATTTAATTATATAAATTCCTGTTTTTGGTGCATGAAAATGCTTTTGACAAATTTTAACCTTTTAACATTTTAAGACAAACACATTTTTATTCAGCCAATGATAGGTAGTGTATTCATAATTGGAATCATAACTGTTTCATGATCATTGTACAAGCTTTAATTTACTGCAATCGTACCGCGATCGTCAGCACAGGTAGTGATATCATCTAGATATTCGACATAGGTACAATGAAGGATTTGAAGAATGCTGTTCAGTTAGTACAGACAAAAGCAGTGAACCAGTCTGAGGCATCTCTTACATTTAATATTCCTATAGGTACACTCCAGTTACATCTTAAGAACCCAGGCAAGAAAGTGGGAGCTGGTAGGCCTACTGATTTGACACTTCACGATGAACAAATCATAGCCAACACAACAAAAGCTTCGTCCAAATGGGGCTTTGGACTAACCAAACAAGAGTTTTTAAAATCTGTGGCTGATTATGTGAGTTCCAATTTAATCAAAACACAGTTTAAGGAAAATATTCCCGGAGATGATTGGTTCCTCAGTTTTAAGAAGAGGCACAACATTTTCTTAAGAGTACCAGAAATCAAGCAGTCTGCACGCTTTGAAATGTTTATTCCAGAGAGAGTCCTACCATTCTTTACATTATTGGCAAATGAAATAAAATCCAATCGTCTAGAAAACAAACCAAGCCAAATAGTCAACCTTGAGACGTGTTTCAATCACGACCCCTCCAAAGTCAAAGTTCTCGGTGAAGTTGGGCAAACTCTCAATCGAAGAAGCATTGGATCTGGTAGAGCGAACACGACTGCTCTAGCATGTGTGTCTGCTAGTGGGCAGGTTTTCCCACCTCACATTATTTTTAAATCAAGTAACTGTACCATCAGAAGTGAATGGAAGTCGGATAAGTGCTATCCGAGGACAACATACGACAGTAGTGAATCGGGATGGATGACGTCAGAAACATTTTTCAGTTATATGAAAAACGTGTTTATCCCAGGTGCTCCTGCTGAAAGGCCTCTGTTGATAATTGTTGACGGCTACCTATCTCACCTGTCAGTAGATGTGATAAAGCTTGCTTTTGACAACAAACTAGTGCTCATTAAACTGCCAGCACATACTACCGATCAATTGCAACCGCTTGACAAAGTCATGTTCCGATCATTAAAAGAGGCCTTTAACAGGCGCTTGATCAAGTGGCAGAGGGAGAACTACGGATTTACGTACCGAAAATGTGACTTGGTGGAGGTCATCGGTGATGCATGGCCTGCAATGACTACACAAAACGTTCTGAAAGGTTTCCAGGCTACTGGCTTTTTTGATCCATCACGCAAGTTCCCCGTTAACCCGCAAGTAATCATAGACAAATTCCCAAAAGAACAGCTTGAGAATTTCAAGAAAACAGATGGCTTCAAGGAACTTGTCATAGCTTGCGACATTGGGCCTACCGAAGACGAACAGAGAGTAGGCCTACCTGAATCGCCAGATTCTTCCATGATGGAGGCACAGCAAAACGCTGTGGTTCCTCATCTTCAACGAAAAGAATCGTTTGAAAGTTTGATGCTGCGAAAATTGGAGGCATTGAAGGAACTAAGACGAGGGAATAAAAAGTCAAGGCGAGATGAGACTTCGGGAGAAGTTGTAACAAGCCCAGAGTTTTTTGAAAAAAGCTGAAGAAGCTGAGGCTTAATCACATAAAAACATTAAATATCCATTTCCTCTTTATTTGTTTATAACTTATAACTGTTTGTCAACTATTTCCTGAGTTAACGTTTCGATTCTCATCAGATTTTCTAGATTAAACCATAAAAATTGACAGTACTTAAAAATCTCCCCGAGGTTACGCATGATATTGTTTACGACGAACGATGAAAATAATGGAACAAGTAACCAATCATTTAAACAAACGGGTGGCAATGAGGAACGACTGTATTTATAGCATGGGAAAGCCGTGTCCTCAAAGGACTTCAAAAGAGGAGTGGTTGACGAGCCGAGTGTAGCCCTGAATATCAAATAGATCGGAAATATTTCATTGCGCTGATAAATACGTGACTACTTTAATCACACAAATATTGAAACTTTAGAGCCGTTCTAAGTTATATCGTATATCTAAGCATATATCTAGATCAATTATCGTAGCCAAAATGAATTACGTTTTACTGTCTGTAGGAATCTTTCTGCGCTAGTAACACCAATAGATGCATGTTTATGTAGTCAGTTTGAATTACGTTACAGATTTAAAACTATCTAATACTGAAACAGGAGTTTAAATCAAATTGGAGATAACCCAAAATAAGATTAACAAATTACACTGTAGTTTTAAGAAGATATGCAAAATGTTGAGCTAATATATTAGAGAGAATATCATTCTCTAGTTATATGTTTAACTATTATAGTTGTAATTGGTAAACTTGTGCTAAAATATTTCGTTTTCTACATAAATTTTTTTGCAATATTCTCAAGAGAATATTTGACTTCTACAGATACTTAAGAAAGACAATTCGCCGATGTCAGATAATGCAAATCCCGGCGGCAAGCAGCAATTGTAAATTTCCCTAGACGCAGGGTTGTAAATTTGAAGTAATTTCATACGAAAGTTAAATTATTAATATACGATTTCATCCATTTTATTTTAGAGGATAACTCTATACAAAATATCCTCTGAAGGTATACAAATTATCAAAGGACATACAATAAAATATAGATTTTAAAACAACTGTTAAAAAAAATTGCGAGACCAGGTTTCATGCGAATAGAAGGCGACATGACCATTTAGAACTAGAGCAATAGCAACACACATACTAGGGTATAATCACACACAACTAACATTTTGGTAGATTGTTTGTTAACTTTATCAATGGATTATAATTAGTACATGCCTAATATAAGTACCACGAATACATTTTAACAAAGTTTAAGCTCATGGTTACTATCGTGCCTTAACAATCACTAAACTGAACATTTCCAACATGATGTTATTACAACACTCATAAGTTTAACATAAAGTATAACATATTTTTCGTTTTAGTTAGTGATATTTTTCGTTTTAGTTAGTATCGTTCGTGCCTGTAACCTAACCGAAATACAACCTTAGTAAATTTACCATTAGTGAAACTGTCATGACGATAGGCTTAACAAGAAATGTATACAGCGAAGTAATACTAGGAAAATTAAGATTTCAAAGAAAATATGTCAATACAAAAGTAATTAACAAAAAATAACAGTAATAATATTAACACGTATCTACACAGACAAAGATGATGCCCTTTAAGTCCCAATGATAACATTTGGCATCATGATTTGTTTTCAAATTTCCTCCCAAATGAGTTCTTATAAGTCCCAATGATGCAAAATGGTATCATAATATGAGAGATGTATTACGGATCTGAGGGTTGGCGGAACTGGCATTTCAGCTGTGTTCACCAGAACTTTTTGTCAAGAGGAAATTTTCAGCTATTCAGAGTTTTTGGCTCACCGGCAGTTTCCCACATTTTCATGATTACTTTAGGTAAGTTATACAATCTGTACAACAATAAAAAAATATTGTACCATGAGCCATACTTTTAAAATGCTTTTTAGCCTGTTTCCAGGTCTTTATTTCTTAATGCTATACCTAGTTAGGGGCAAAATAAATTATGAGTCTATAAGACATCAGTGGGACTCTGTGACATGGAGTGATATGAGAATTCACATTTATTTATCAAATCAATTAGTGATAAAATGATAAGGATTAAATGATTAAGACTGATAAACAAAATTGTTGAAAAACTTATTTTAGTCCTATGTCTGTTTTCATCTTTTAAACATATACTATACATATTATAATAAATATAAATACTGGTGTCAGAGCATTTTTCTCCGCTTTTACTATTTGATTATTATCAATATTATTATTTTATGTACCCAGTACTTTTCCATTTTTTTCTTATACATAGGCCTAGTTAATAATTTTTAGAATTTTTTATTTGTAGGCCATGGACGACCAAAGAATTAGTAGATCTGAAATAGATCGCCTACTTCGAGGGAACCTATCAGGCATCGATGAGCTTGTGGATGAGGAGGGAATTTGTAGAAGACAATTTCATCAGAAGAAATTTTACTTTAGAAATAATATTTTACTATACGGTTCCAATAACAGTAATATTGTGAAAATAAAATTTGTTGTAATAAATACATTTTTTCATGATTTCCCTATCTCGATATTGTAGAGTACCAATGAGTCCGATTGGACTCATATGTTTCTAACTTTTGTTATTAAAAACCAATGGTTTGTAACTATTGTTATTTTTGCAATATTTGAACTTAAAGTGCCCAGAAAACCATAAAAATATTTTTTCTGGTGATTATTTCTATGCTTGGGACGGAAAGGGGCACTAGGTGAGCTAGAGACTGAAAGAAAACATTGCGTTGAAGCTATTAAAATAATAATCTATATCACTACCCAATTGGCTCTCAAGTGTTATACAAAATTTGTTATTGGCCTCGTACTTGGACTAATACAACTTGGTTCAGGTTTGTACCTTTATTGGATTAAGCTAAGGCAAAATTAAATATATATGTTATGTATCTTGCCATAACTATTATAATTATGCATTGGGAAATGGGAGCTTTGAAATAAGATGCTCAGTCATTGGAGGCTAACATGAAAGAGGCTTTATTCCGGTTCTCTATGCTAGGACAAGTAGTGTAGGCTATTCATGACATAGAGTACAATAACCTAAGACACAATACAAATGTGTATATATAACATTACTCTCTCCTAAAAAGAAAAACATTTTACTTTTATAGAACAAATAATTCCTCCCTCTAAAACAAAAATAATAACAAACTTTTAAATTTCATAAAAAGAACAATTTCACTTAAATTTAAACAGAACAGAGAATAAAAGTTGTCTTTAGAACTAACCTAGCCTAACTTTAAAAAGCCTCAACATTTAAAAAACATTTTACACTTTTTTTTGTTTTTGTGAACATTTTTTTTTACAAATTAAAATATACATTTCTTACAACCCTTTAATTCAACAAACTAAGACATTGTACCTTAAACGGAAAGTAAATTAAAATAACAGTATAGGCCTAAACACAGAAACTTAAAGCTAACATAAAAATAAATAGGCCTAGTTAAAATGTCATAAAAAAGAAATGAGATATCATTGCATTAACAAAACATAGGTTAGGTGATCATTTGGGTTGGTTTACAAATCAAAAACTTTCTTAGGCACTCTTGTTCTCATGGGATATCGCCTTTTGGGAGTAGAACTTATAGGACTACTATCGCTGGAAATAGGATCATGGACTGCGGAAGTGGCAGATTGGGTAGGACTGACAGCACGATTTGACACAGGACTTTTTGGACTGGCGCAAACAGGAGTGTTTGGTTTAGGCGAGGAAGGGCTTAGCATCAGACTTCGCCTATGAACAGGTCTACTCACATCTTCATTTGGAAACAAAGCCTCGGGCCTAACAGACTCCTTTGACCTTGAGGTCACAACATCATTTGACACTTGGTTTTTAAGTGGCAACATTTGATTGCAATGTCGTTTCCAGACTACATCAGAATTACATAACTTAACTAAATAAGAAACAGGACTAAGACACTTGACAATTTTTGCCTTTACCCAATTTGAGGACTGAGAAGTACGGTAGTCTTTTACCAACACAATTTGATTTTCAACAAACAAAATATTTCTACCTTTAACATTTTCAGAAAACCCTGATGAGTTTGTTTGAACAAATCTATCAGGTCGCAACAAATCAAACCTGGTCCTCAACTTCCTACCGAACATAAGTTCTGCTGGTGACTTACATGTTGAACAATGGGTTGAGTTTCTATAGTCAAACAAAAATCTTAAAATAGCCAAGTTAACATCATTACCTTGCTTTAAAGCAATCTTTACACTTTTCTTTACAGTTTGGACTGCACGTTCCGCTGCTCCATTTGTCGCAGGGTGGAACGGTGCTGTAAGACAATGATTAACTCCATTCAGTTTAAGAAAAGAGGCAAACTCGTGAGAAGTCCACGTAGGACCGTTATCTGTTACAGCAGAGTGCGGTAAACCGTAACGTGCAAAAATCTGTCTCAACTGATAGATGACAGAAACAGCAGTGATTGAGCGCATGGGAACGACTTCAATAAATTTGGAATAAGCGTCAATCACTATCAAATACATCTGATTATTAATAGGTCCAAAGAAATCCATGTGGATACGCTCCCATGGACCATGAGGAACGTTCCAGTTACACACCGTCATTTTTGGGGGGTCCTTTCTTTGATCTAAGCATAACTCGCACGAGTTTGCGATTTCTTCAATACACTCATCTAACTTAGGCCACCAAAAGGTTGACCTGGCAACAGACTTCATTTTAACCATTCCTAGATGAGTACAATGCAATTCACTTAACAAACTTTTTCTCAGACTGGTAGGTATTACCACACGGTAACCCCAAAGCACACAATTGTTTTCTACGTTCAACTCTGATCTTTTCAAAAAGAAAGGTCTTAAATCACTAGACATACCTGAATCATTTGGCCACCCATGAAGTGTATAATCCAACACTTTACTTAACACAGGATCCCTTGCTGTTTCCTTACTAACAACTTTAGAGGATATAGGAAAACAGGTAGTTTGTATAAACTTAAAAAAATCGAAATCATCAACAATTTCATCATCGTTA